GGTATTTACCTATATTTCCCTCAATAAAACCTGACCTGACCTGACCTGAACTGATTAGCCGTCAGCAGCCAGTTACATCCAATCCCAGGTGTGGATCACCCAGGATTCTAACCCCATATTTTTGGTCATTAAGTGTAACGCTTTACCATTGCACCAACGGCTTGTTGCTCTGTCGTTTGCGATTGGGATTAGAAGTTGCTTTTATAAGATATTCGGCTGACAAACTTCTGCGTATATTAATTTTTTCAACGTAATATCACAATGGAATGTGAGAATTTTGAGACTTTCTACATGTTTCCTAAAGATAAACGATGCAATTTGACTGGAGATGAAAAAACTTTCTTTTCTTTTTATAATGGATATCTTTTCGCATAAGTGGATTAACTCCACTTTCTGATATAAACTTGCGAATTCAAAAAACCTGGCCAAATACATTGTCTTTATTTGAAATGCCTATTATTCCTATGTCTGTTCGTTTTATAAGTAAAGCAAACGGGGAACGTGGAGTACACAAAGGGTATATCTCTACACGACTTACATTCAATAAGGCCTTCTTTATCTTAAATTTGCGTTAGCATGTTCTACATTTTGCTTTTGTGCTAGGAAATTTGTGCGTTATTTGTGCATTCAAACAAACACTCTTCTGTTACTGCATTATGTGAAAAAAAACTTCACAGGATAGCAAAACATAATTTTTAAAATAAAAACCTCCAATGTTACTGCAAATGGATGTGATTCATTCAACTTGGCTTCACTTGAATCTGAACAATTTTGGACAAACTTTTCCAGTTCTGGAAGGGATATTTTCTATACCTAATTTACTCTTTTTTGGAGTTTATTCATAGAACAGTCAACATTAGGGAGAAATTTGGTTCTCTCTTTCGTAATAGCAAAGGAAATTCCTTTCATATGAGACTACTCCCAATTTTCCCAAATTAATACCCATTTCTCTTAATAAACCTAAATAAAATGACGATTTAACTAGGTAAAAGGCTTTCGCAGAATTCTATAAACTGAATGAATCAAAATAATTTTACTAAATATACGCTAAGGTACCAAGTCAAATTTCATCATGAAAGTTGCATGGTCTTTGGGGACTACTTTTATAGCATACTATACACCTGCGTAACGATTCTAGGTCCATATATTTTATTGCGTTCATTACTTGCGACTGCAAGGAAGAGGAGTTCGCGAATGGCGTTTAATTTGCATTGGCGTTTGAGAACCCTGTTCATTTCCATCAGCGGTCTGTTGCAATTTCTTCAGTAATACAATTTGTGCAATAAAGTCCATGGACATTTGTAGTTGGCTCGACTACTCCGCAATAATCTCAGACCGCATGATCAGCTATTCCAGAACTGCAAATGCAACCATTTCTACGTCCATCCTTTACGTTTTCGCCACCAATTAGGCCACACCTTTTGTGGGGTTGTAAGATAGTTTATATACACAGTTGATAGTTATTTGCTAAGGTTCGGTGATTAAAAGCTTTAAGAAAAATACCTATGGAACCAGTTTATATCCATATAAAAATCCGCTAAATTTTCATCATCTGTCGTGTAATCTTAAACGGAAATTGAGTTTATGTGCGTAGAACACAAATGCTATGAACGTCGATATATAGGAGGTTTTTCTGAGAGTTTTGGTAATTGAGATACCATTTATTGTCTGAATTAATGGGGAATCGCTTTTTTGAGAATAAGGCTTTAGGATTCGTTTATATGAGCGGAATACATGTAACCTTGTACAATGTTTTGTACGTGACTTCCTTCATAGTCTAAATGTCAACTCAAGGTGCAGATCAACCATATGACCTACTCTGTCATGAACCAATGTACTGCTGGGTAGAAAAGTGGGCGTTTCCGGTGAACCAACCAGCGTTACAATCAATGGTTCGTGGCGCATGGAAAATGGATTTAGGTAAGCCGTTAGCCTGGTTGGTTAGTATTTAAATTGGCTTGCTATATATATACCGAAAAAATGCGAACTTAACATCCTGTTAAGAGTTCTACGCTCCGTGACAACAACAAGCCGACCCAACGCACGCCGGCAATGTTCTCCGTCCTCATCCTCCTCTGTGGTTTTTCGATCACATTCTCACTAGGAACTCCCGTAAATCAACATGCCAGTGAGTCAATTGACGATGTCACCAATGTATCTCCTGTCCGGCTTCCTTTGAGGGACATCGAGGGAAACCGTCAGCCATTCGCAATTAAATCACTCTCCGCAGAGTTAGAGAAGAAGCATGCCGTCCTCTCCGACAAAGGTCCATCTGAGGCGGGTAAGGTTTTAATTCTAGTTTAATAGCAGAATTGAGCATGTTTTGCTTCTACAAAATAAACACAATAAAAAACTTCGGCGCATGTTTCCTTTAAATTGTATTTTAACTCCCTGGTGCATTAGAAATTAATAACACAATGCGCTACATAATATATAATAACAGTTATATGATTGTTGACTTTAGGCAAGCAAATAAAAGGCTTGCTAAGTCCGAGGAAGTGATTGAGAAGAATACAACTCGATCGCTAAGACTATACTTTAATTCGCCTGACGTTTCGAGATCCGGCGCAGATCCGTCATCAGAGGCATAAGCACAAAGCAGTAACATATACGGGTGACAGATGCACAGGAGTTTGTAGTATAAATAGGATACAGTCATTGTTGCAAACATATAACTGCAATAAACAGAAGTTGCTTTGCCAGCAGAGGAGAATATCCGACTTCCAGGAAGCAGTTCAGAAGAAGAAGAAGAAGCGATA